ATTAATTTTTATTGTGTAAGGGCCTCTTATATTAAATAAATGTGACCATGATATCCACAGAGCAGGACATTAGTGTAAAAAACTTTTCAGTGCTCTCTAGTGGACAAACTATGTAATTGAGCTACTGTTAGTAATCAACCGGGAGTGAGTTGAGGGCAGAAGAAAGATCAAGGAGGACATTCACATCCAACACCAAAGAGCATCTTTGAACAGAGACAGGGGTTACCATCTTCCTACATATATGGCCACACCATGATTACTGAGCAAACTTCATACAGTGATGGAGACTGTGGATGTGGTTGAAAGATTTTTTTAAAAAAGCTTGTAAGGGATACACTATTTTTTATTAGATTAATTTTTTGTCTCCATTGCTTCAACCTGTCAACGCAGTCATAAAAGATAATAAAAAAATACAACTTCGATTTCTTTGATATGTGGACAGACACAGTGCTAAATAAAAAAGGTTAAATATGATCTCTGATAGGTCAGCATGAGCCAAACATCAGCAGTCTTAAAGCACTTTGCAATAAATAGAAGGATGATTCATGTGGGTTCACCCTCAACTACATCCCTGTATATTCCTCGATTTCCTGTTTTGAAAAGAGAATGATTTTTCCAGGGGATAAAACATCTAATGTGAAATATATGTGGGCCCTGCAGGATGTACCCAGAGCTTAGAACTCCACAGATGCCTCCTGTGGAAACATATTGCACATCTGGATATGGTTATATTCAAAAACATCACATCCCGTTACATATTACTACACGTCTGCTTCTGCTTACTGAGCAAAGTATGTGTTGCTTTTTTTATGCAATGATCATGATATAACAGATAAAGTAAAATGAAGACATAGTTTTTATCTTTTTCAGTACTGTGCCTACATTCTTAAAAGTTAGTAATAGCCCTCCTTTAAAGGACCGGTGTGTAGGATTTAGTGGCATCTAGTGGTGAGATGGCAGATTGCAACCAACTAAAACCCTCAACCAAGCCAATAGGAGAAACTATGGTGACTGCAAAACATGGCAGATCAACATGGTTGACTCATAGAATAAAATACAGATATCTGGTTGTGAGCCAGGGGAACATATGTGATTAATGATTGGTAATCTTCCTACTAGAAACTTCACTTGAGATATGTGGGGAAACTTCTACACCAAGAGTTTCTGTATGTGTAACAGCTTAGCAAATGGCAAGGTTAAACCCAGAATGACAAGTCAAAGATAAAACAGAGGCAGGCAGATAAAACAGGAAAACTTATCTGAAAAAGGGGTCAGGCAGGGAGTCTAATCAGGCAGTAGATCAAGAAGGCAAAGTCAGGTGGGCAGAACAAAATGGTGGATGATGCCTGCTGCCAAAGAGTCACTGATATGCTTCTCCATGGCCTTGGTCTTAGGGGTGGAAAGACAGTAGCGTCAGCCCTTGGGTGGAAATGAGCCAGGGAGGATGTCAATGGCGTGTTCATATGGGTGATGAGGAGGCAGCAATGTGGCATGAGCCTTGCTGAAAGCCATCAAAAAAGCCTTCAGATCTAGATATCCTGAAAGGTCTGTAACTCATACGAAGAAGAGTCACTGGGAGTGGGACACAGGGCAGATCTGAGACATACAGCATGACAATGGTGATACCATTGCAAGATGGCCCCTAGAGACCAGTCACGATGGGTGTTGTGTCATCTAAGCCAGGGATAACCCAAAATAACAGGTAGGTGGAAAGTGAGGGTCTCATGATGGTTACCTGACATGCCCAGATAGATGGGGACAGTTCTCCTTTTTGTCTTTATTTGCAATTTTGATTTTTTTTGCCTTTGTTAGCAACGCACATATTACATATGACAGAAATAAATTCCTCAACATCAAAAAAGATCACTGCCCACAAGTCTTACAGTAGGTTCATGGGAATCAGCATCATAAGCAACCTGTCATGGTCATCGCACATCTCCAATCTGGTAAAGAAAGCTCAAACTGCTTTATTTCTAAAGACAACTGACTAAGGACCCTGACTTCAAACAACATGGAATGTGCATAGCCCACGTCAGGAGGGCTTTGCAGCAGATGATTAAAACTACCCATAATCCATGACTTGAAATGGAGAGTCACTGGATCTGTTCTCAGAAGGATTATAAAACTTGCTGATGGCAGCTGGAGATCTCTTGAATCTCAGGTCCCTGCTACTCAGAATTTCCCAGAAGCTGTGCTCTGTGGGTAGAGGTGATTGAAAGTAGCTCATCTGGTCCCCACACTACATGGCATGGTATTTTAGGTGGTGTTCCAGATGGAGAGTACAATGCCACAACAGGTGCCTATGCCTATTGCAGCCTAGCACCAACTGGGAATAATGCTATCAGCTTTGTTTCTGGACATGACAAATAATAATGTTGGTTTTTATGGTCCTGGTAAATACATTGTGTTTTGTAGTGAAAGTGATGTGGAGAAAAGCCCTGAACCTGTGCTCAGTGACATGTCAGACCTGGAGTCTACTCATACACATCCCAGTCAAGCTACTAGCAATGAAGAAGCGTGTTCTCCCAAACCTGTTACACTCCTGGAGAGTTTCCGATGCCAAGTATGCCTGTTGCCAAGAGCAGCTCTAAACAACCTTTCAAAGCTTCATCCAAAGGTGGCCTCTGAGCATCTTGAAAGATAATGAAATGTCTACACTCTGCTTGAGCATTTGTGTTTGAGATGAGCCTGTTTTGATCTTGCTTGTTCATTCTTTTCCAGATCCCATGCATCTTCAGATTTGGCCTGACTTAAAAAAATAAGTTGCACTTCTGGTCTGATTTTCAGTTAGGTCTTTTTCCCATGTGGGGTCTACTGTCTGGTAAGCTAATGGTCTGGTTGGTCATAAAAAGATTAAAGGATAGTCTTAATAAGGATAGTATTAATTTTTCAAGTCTGTCTTAAGAACATAGTTGAGTACCCATATTTCCAATGTAAGCAGTTGGGGACAAAAGCAACACCACTCATTCTGTGCAAAATGCATTCCAAAGTTTATCTAAAGTAATAATAATAATAATAAGAAGAAGAAATAAAGCTCTAGCAGTCAGAGTTTGACAAATCAAGTGGATATCTTTTCATGTGAAATTCCCTTTTTGTCCTATCATCCCTTCACTGCAGCTTAGCCCATAAACTGTCCAATGTTGGAAGCTATCCACTTGACTATGACTAACACAGACTTCCTAAGAATCACACACACAATCACAAAACTTTGGAAAGCTTTATTCCATTGGAGGTAGGTTGGGGAGGAATCTTTTCATGGTCACTATGAACAGAGGAATATTTAAGTGAGCAAACTGTTTCAATGTGAACATGTGAGTATTAACACAGACTTGGAAGAAATGTAAACCTAAAGAATTTTGTTTTAGTTTAGCTTTAATACGTAAAAATGTAAACATGAATGTCTTGAAATCCCTTAAAATTTATGTTACTTAGTGTATTCATTCTGCAGAAATCCTACCTGTACGTTCAAGAAACTGTTAAGGTAAGTTACAAGTAACATTCAGTTGAGTACAGACTTCAGTGAACAATCATTTACACTTAATGGAACTTAAATCTTAAAGATCTGTGTAAAAGCTTAAAGTTAGCCTCAGAATTGCCAGGCACCCATTGTCCAGGCAATTTGAAAGAGGGAAGGCCCAAGGGATTAAAAGAATGCACTTCAGAGTTTAGAGATGCCACATAGCCAACAGTGAATTCAAGATTAGGGTGTGTGATCATAAATATAAACCATTATCTCAATCATTTAGGTATGCAAAGAAAGATACACTTACCTATGGTGGTCATATGGACCTATGGTAATGGCTTCAGATTGCCTTTAACTGAAAAAGTTTCAGAGTGAAAGCCAGTTTTAACATCTGTTAGACAGGATTGTATTTTGATTCCTTTTTGGAGTCAAATGAGAAATAGATCTGGGAGTCATCTGCATAAAAATGGAAACTGATGTGTGCTTATGAAAGATTTGACCAAGACGTAACACATGAATGGAGAATAACACAGGGCCAAGGACTGAGCCTTGAGGCTATGGCCTATATTAAAATTATTAATATGATCTGCCACCCATATGGTTAAAGGGGAACTTTGGCAGATTTTTACCCTAGTCTTGATCACTAGAGGTCACCGAGTACTGTCGATAGGAAAAAGAACGACCAGAATTGGTTCTAGCAAACTGGAGATCCTGCAGCTAATGGCCAGAGCTCCCAGTTAGTTATAATACACTTTTTGGGGGCATATCCTAATGAGTGCCTTTTGCTCCTCTTAACAGACACAAAATGCAATTAAAATGTCTGTGCAACATGATCAGGGCCCTTACGTGACAGCATGCCTTTTCAACTCATACGTTGTGCAGAAACCGTACAAAACAGTACTGTCGCCTACCTGTTTTTGCGACAAGGACACAATTCACACAAGGGGAGCGAGAGATGGGGTGAGTCTCCTTGAGCACAAACATACAGATACCAAACATGCTAAATGTGTCCTGGCTCATGCTACAGGAAAAGGTGCTGTAGGTCAGGGGGTCACCAGAATATTGTTTCCCCAATAAATCTGCCCCATAAGTGCCGTACTGCGTAGGGTAACCACTACATAGAAGTACAAGCAGGAGCGGAAGTGCAACACACTTGAACCTTTCAACCCAGAGTGCAGTAAAGCTTTTAGGAGATTTAGTGGAGTTACTCTGTAAGATTTAGCCTCTTGAGCATAAATGTACACTGTAAAACGTGATGAGTTAGTTCAACTCAAACTGTTTGAGAAACCAATTTAAAAACCATTACCTTAAACCATTTAAAGTTTATTCACTCAAACAACTAATGCATGAAAGATATTTGATTTGAGTAGAAGTAACTCAAGTATTTGTTATTAAGGTAACTTGGGTAAATTAAGTTAAATGTACCAATTACATTCAGTTACCAAACGGTATGGTCTACATACGTTTAGTACTAGACAGCAGCAGGGCGAAAGTAACCTAAGAAACAATGGTGGAATAAAAAAACAAAGCTGGGAAAGATGGTGTATTTCTTATTTAACCAATGCAAATTCAAATAAAAGTTACAAAACAATAACTGGGTAGAATAAGAAAAATAGATTTATGATGATGAGGGACATAAAAGACCATTTGTGTGTAATAAAACAGCAAGATTGCGCAACTAATCCTGTCCTTGATTAAGTGAACACATTTATGTAATTTTAACATTCTAACACTTTAATTTGAATTGTCTTTGGATTTAGCAGGTGATCTAAATCCAAATGTGTATTCTGGTGAAGACAATTTTAATTTTCAAACATTAACATAGTTTTGTACTGATTTTCATCGCTTACCACATTAGAAGGAAGCTGGTTAAATCAAAGGCTTTGATGGTTTCTGGCCAGTAAACAGTTGACTCCCCCACTGTGGTCCCCCCACATCAGCATAACACACTTTTTCCACAGATGCTCTCCATCTCTTATGTAACATTGTTTGAAAGTGAGGTTTCAGGCTCTACAGGTGGGGGAGTCAATGAGAGATGAGAGTCAAGTTGTTCCATTTGCTAAACAAATAGGATTCAGGATTGTTTCTTTTGGATATTTAATCACATCAGGGAGTTGTCTGTGTGTCTCAATGTTGCACGCACCAATCTATTTTCATTTTTATCATCAGTGAATGGGGGGTTCTTGGATCAGAAAACACTGCAAAGCAGGGTTTGCTTAAAAATAGATGAACAGCAGAGAAATGTCAGGAAGAGTGCATTATGTAGGACAAATAATGTGATGATGAGCTTCATACTGCATTGCTTTTGGACAAGATTCTCTGATTGCAAAAGGATCCTCATATGGTTTAAGGTTGCAATAGCCACATATCCCCCCCTTCTGGCAGATCTTCTTTGTGCTTTATGGTTCCTAGTAGAATGAGAACACAGACAAAGGCAGATAAATGACTGTAATGTAAATGAACATAGACACTTGCAATCACAATTATTAATATTGCTAAAAAGATGGGTTGCATTAGATTGAGTTGCTAGTGAGCTCCATTTATCAGCTTTAAAAGAGATATGACAGTCAGTGCTTTGATATCTGAGCCAGGCTGGATTACCAATCAAGCAAAGCAGGCAACTGCTTCAAGCCCCCAGACCTTCAGGAGCCCCAAAGGCCCCAGTTTCCCAGTGTGACCATTCATTTCTAGTACTTTGATTAATTTAAAACTTATTTTTGTACCATTAAAGCACAGTCTGGATTGCAATGATAAGGAAGTTCTGGCACCTAATCTTGAGGCCATGTCTTTTGGAGGGGCCCTGTGTTTTTTCTCTCTGTGTATTTCACTTGATAGCTGCATCATCAAGGAATCAAGGAAAGGTATTTATTATTGTACAACACAAGGTTGCATGAAATGAAAAATTTCAGTGTAACAAATGACAAACAAACACAAATGTAGTAACAAACAACAGTCACATAATGGACGAAAGGCATACTATTAAATGGAAACAAATAAATAATAATAATAATAATAATAATGATATTATCATGTAAAACATATTAATCAATGACTATTTTTAATTTTTTAGCATTATTATTATTATTATTATCACCATCATCGTAATCAGTAGTAGTAGTACTATATATGTATTCTATTGTATGTTATTATATATTACGATATACCTATATTATTTAATAATATTATTATTGTTACGTTTGATTATATATTATGTATACTGTGCTCATACTGTACTTTACTATACTACTATATATCCCATACTATATTATACTGCACTATACTACATGATGTTATAATAATGGTGACGACATAATTTTGCTCTACACATACTTTGCTGAGTTTGCAGCTACTAATGGCACCCCTATGTCACTTTGTTTTAGACAGTACTGTACTATTTGTTGCTACACCAGTAGCCAGTGTAGGCGTAGGTGTGTATTTGTACTGTCATTTCCTGTAATTTTGAGTTGAATTGCTCTTAGTTAATTTCTATTTCACTGTATTCCGATTTTAATTTATATGCATTTATTTTCGAATTTCCCCTATGGATCAATTAAGGATGAGCTTATCTTATTTTATCTTATCTCATCCGTTAGGAACAGTTTTTAGCCACAGGCCATCACTCTGATGAACAATTAACTCCAGACACACAGGGTCAGGAACCATCCCTTTTCAATAAACCTAGGACTCTAATATCTACTTTACCTGTAAACTATTTACTATTTATTTTTTTCAATGTTGAAATTCAGTTTTAAAAAAATAAAATAAATAATTGAAACACATGCTGTATTATATATATATATATTATACTGTAGGCCTATATACTGTCATATCCACATACTTCATGTGCATAACAATACCTGCACGTAAATATTTATTCCGACATCATGTGCACTTAGCTGTTTGTATAATTGTTCATCGTAGCAATGTCTGTTTATTTATGCATATTCTGTGTATGTACATTGAGAACAACGTAAAAACCGGACGATCCTAATTATCTTATCTATCCTGAACAAATGAACAATAAAATACCATTATTACATTTTACACAAAAACTATTTTGAAAAAGAAATAATTGACAAAATATTACATCACAACCACAAAAATGTTTCAACTATACCAATGAGCACTACGCAGGACCTTTGCCGATGGCCTCTCCGGGCTTCCGTAGTGTTGTTTTTTTTACCCGGAAAAAGTTCTTGGCCCATGTGACGTTTGGGGGCCGTAAAAATGGCGGAGTCGGAGGAGGAGGTGGACGTCTTGGTCCAGAGAGTTGTCAAAGACATCACTAACGCCTTCAAGAGAAACCCCAACATGTGAGTATGCTGACCGTGAACTCAGCGGACACAGCGGGGCGGCGTGTGCCACAACCCGCGGACCCGGGACCCGGGACCGAACCACAGCCTGAAGCAGCGGGTCTACTGTTTGGGCTTGGACTATTACCTGGAATAAAAGCGGTCTGGGCAAAGTTGACACTTGTGCCAACTAGCTTAGCTGTTTGTTTATTCTGTCAAATAGAATAGATGGAAGGGTTCCTTAGAAACACTCTGAAGATAATATTTTCTTCCTTATGTAACAATATATATATTTAGTTAGTTATGTTAGCCCTGTGAGACGGTCAGGCGGCTGTCAGGACCGGGCCGGTAACGTTAGCTCATTAACGGTGTCATTAATTCATTTAGTAGCTAACGTTAGTCTTATATGTTTGTATCTGTAATTTCTTTAGCTACTATTTCCAGTGCATCCATGTAATGGAGGTCCTTAGGCTGTTATCAGAGGTGCACCGGCGTCAGCTGGCAGGGTTAGCATATGCTATGCTTTCAGCAGGCATTAGCTGCTCATCTGTTTATACTGTAAGTAACACATTAAACAGTTTAGTGTCAGATAGTGGCAACAATGGTGTCAAAGTGCTCTCATCATCAATATTATCAACTACACAAACATTAGTATACGTAAAATCTAGTGCAGCTCAACTCAGCTTTATTTATACAGCACCTTTCATACAAACACACAGCTCAGAGTGCTTCACATAGCAAACCATAAATAAAACTGTGCAAGGCTTACAATGAATACAATAAAAACAGTGTAAAACATCAAATAATAAAATACATTACTATAAATATCTTTGTGAAAATAAACACCAGGGAGGCAAAAACTAAGGCTATAGCATTATCCGTGCTAATATTCAGAGGCAGGGAGTTCCACAGTTTAGGGGCATACAAACAGAATCACTCTCTCCAGTACCTTCATGGGAACACATAAGGAACATTTTAAAGAAAAGCAGCAGGAACTTTAGTGATCTATCTGGAACATAAAATTAAAGAAAGTCTTTTACATATGGAGGAGTAAGGTCATTTTAAAGTTTGAAATAAATAAAAGAACTTTAATGTGATCCATTTTCTGGTGCTGGTAAAGACTGGTCGCAGCATTCTATATATATAGCTTTACTGAGAGAGAGAGAGAGAGAGAGAGAGAGAGAAGGAGCTGCCGCACTCAACACACCAGTCCTGGGAACAAAATGCCAATAAGAGTAATTTATTTAGGAGCAAAAGATACAGACAACAGAAAGGAACAGTGAGCAGAATACAGACAGTTCATTCAGGTAACTCTCACACAAAGGCTGCACCAAAGCCAGAGGAACTCCCTCCAGGCAGCAACAAGAACAGGAACAATTTTATTTTATACTTTTTATTGTGTACAAATAAAAACATTAAGGAAGAGCTTTGATGCAGGCATTTTGTTTCTTAATGCAATGCAGAGCTATTCAACTGCCAAGCATTGGATTGGTTTTAATAACTTTAATTTAGGCCTACTTGAAGTGAGCACTGTGCACCTGTATTGTCCCCAAAAATCGGATCAGGACTCTGTATGAACAGATAGTCAATGTTAAATGACTTGGTTGGGTTCGAGGAGAAAAAAAACTTCTGCAATTTGGATATTGCACTTGGCCATATTGTGATATTTTGTTGAATGGTGCAGGCGTAATGAAGGTGGAGTTCTCCAGGGCTGATGTATTGGACTGGGTTTGGGTTAGCGAAAGCATTGTGACTGCTGAATTTGCACCCGCGGTTCAGGCTTGGGAGCATGCTGTTATTCAAATCCCGGTGCAGGCCACACATCTGAAAGACTTCAGACCATCTGAAAAGATAAATCTTGGTCTTCTTCCAAGCAGCCCATGTTTAACTTTGTGCTAAGTGAACCACACACCAGCCACGTGACAGTGTGAAGTGTGCCAAGTTGTCATAAGTTTCTCAGACCCAATTCCTAAATGAGCGACAACATTATTGAATCTTACAAAAATCTGTTGCAGCACGAGATCACATATACTTTACAATATATACATTCTTTTGGACATTTTGAAATGTGATTAAAAACACAAAATAAGCATTTGAATCGATGTGATGTTCTCCTGTTCGACCCTTTCAACCTCAAGAAGCTGCTTATAGGTAGTGAAAATGGCAGAGTTGCATTGAACCTTCATCTTTCTAAATCTACTCAGATTCAGTTAGAATATTCAGTTGGGATGCACGATGTGGATTTATTTTTCAGCCGATATGATGCCCAATAATTACCTTCTTCTTATGGCCAATACCGATAAAATAACCGATAATTTCACATTTTAAAAAGAAGTTCATAACCTGTAGTTTTTATAAACCTCAGGGTAAGAAAGTCTATGGTGTGGTGAGCAAGGATGATCATTTAATATTCCATGGCTCTGTTCTAACTGACATCCCAACAGTTCTGACTCCTTTTTCTAGTAAAGTTGAAGCCAATCAGTTGTCTTGTTGTTCAAACTATTCATCCTGGCAGTGAAGGGGTTGTAGCGCTCCATTAAAATAAAAAATGTAATCCACACACAGTTACTGAGGACCGAGCAGGGCAGGGACTGGCAGATATCCTGGGGGTCTCGGGGGTCACACTGGAGTACCGAACAACTCACGGATAGAGATGTCATATTCACCGGGTTCATCTCGGCTGTCTGTCCCAGAATCCCGGTTCAGTGCGGCCCATTAAGATGTATTAATATGTTAAAATACCATAGTCACACAAACTAATGGAGGCAGCAGTAGAGGAGCGACACCTGTGTTTTCGTGGGCTTTGAAGAGAACATAGATATAACAGCTTCAGGTCCCCTTCTGCAAATCCCACATAGCAGCCTGTGGGACAGTCTTTATCAATTGTATCATGTAAATCAGGGTGAGAAACATTCAATCAACAGGTCCGCCATGCTCTGCACAATGTGTCAGAAAAGATTATGCTGCTTCGTCCCTGCGTAATATTCACCTTCTACATGAAAGTACTCATGACGAAAACAACAGTTCAAAAATATATAGTGACTTATAAATGAGTAGAACAAAAAAACGCCCCTGTTGTGTAAAGGCCTAGACTAGGACGAGACTTCGCTGCAATTGGGTAATGCAAGCTGACATTGTGTCTCTGCTTGCATATAATAATGTACTGATTCATTTTCAAGACTCTCCAGACATACACACTATGCTTCAGAATTACGCCTGCTCCAATGGTACACAGAATTCACTGTTCAGTTTGTACCTCTGTTTTACCTCAGATACTGGGACGTACCTTTCAGTCTGTTTTTGTCTTGTTACACTAATCAACATATGTGGGAGATGACGTTGTAAACGACATGTTCACAGGCGAAGCTGACGAGCATGCTACAGCTAATGGACAGCAACTGGTGTGCTCCCAAAATGTTCTGGGTGAAACACACAGTCTAGAATTTCTGTTCCATGCGTGGGAGCAGTAGACATAAACAGACTCATTTGGCTGTAGCGAACTGAGGAAGTGGCATACTGAACCAAACGTCATGTTCAGTACAACTACATGTACCGTTACACCCCTAATTAATACGATACAGTCTGACTGTATGAGGCCTATCTCGCACAGTGTGAAATCATAAGACATATAACTGTAAGACTGCTGTTATCACAGTGTGAAAGGGCCTTAAGAACAAGACAAGTATTAGTCAAAAAACAACAACAAAAAAAGCATTCCAAGAAGACATTACTATGAAGCTATATCCTGAAGTACAGAGCCAGCTGTCAGGGCTTAGAAGCCAAGACACAGAGCCATTTATTTTCCTAGTTCAATTAAGATATTCCCGAGAATGTGCGATACCACGAGGGCAGCCACACGATGCGTTGTCAGAACGATTCTTCCATGTCCATATACAAACTCCTTCAGCCCTCGCTCTGTGTCTGCTCCCTCAGTGATGAGATTGGTGTGATCCCGTGTCCAGAGGCCCGCTACAACCGCAGTCCCATTGTGTTGGTGGAGAACAAGCTGGGTGTTGAAAGCTGGTGTGTCAAGTTCCTGCTGCCATATGTCCACAACAAGCTGCTGCTCTACCGCCAGCGCAAACACTGGCTGGACAGGGAAGGTAAATATGGGGTGATGAGTACGTTTTATACTGATGTAGTGTATTTCCTGTGAAATGTATGCCTTCTTTTGGTCAGAATATATGTGTATCACATGTACTGGAAGCATGTTTTTATTTTCTTATTTAACTTCACAACTGCAGCACGAGTAAGATGTAAGGTATATCGATGCATGGATACAGTCCCTTCTGGGTTTTTTAGGCCGGGGGCGGGGGGTTGTTGCAGCCAAATTGTGATGCATATTGCATATTTTTGCAAGCAGAAAGTGAAACTTGCTGAAATTGCTGTGATTTTATAAATCTTAATATAAATTCAGCTGTTGTTGTTGTGGTGAGAATGCAACTGCACTGCTTGGACAGGGTCAAAGTGACTTTGGTGACTCAGTGAGTGATTGGTCGAAAAAAGTTGCGCTGTTTAGACAAAATTGCAGGGACACGCAGAATTCACAGGGATTGGTCGCAGTTTCATTAATTGTTGCGATTGAAACGTCACAACTTCCTGGAAGGACGGAATGGGATGTGACGACAATGTCTAGCTGCTTACATCTTTCTCCCTCCCAGCTCTACCTGTAGTTAATGAGTATAATTTGTTTTAACAAGTTTCCTATAACTGATGCCCAGAACATGTTTGTTACTTGCAGAAGCCTCAGGTACCTGCCAATACCATGACAATGAAACTCATTTGAACAATGTTTTATCATACTGTATGTTTGGATTTGTGTCTTAAATGTGTGTGTCGGCCCAGAAAGTCATTTATATGCAGAGATAAAATCCAGTTTTATTTTATTGGTTTTTAAAATGTAATTCACTTTTTTCAATAGGTTTTCAAGTAGCCAGTGAAGATTGTGTCCTGGTGATATGTTTTCCTTATCAAAGGCTGTTTCTCTTCCGGCAGCCCACACTGGCTGACCTTTTCTCTTTAATGTGATTAATGAAATGTTGACAGACCTTGCCACATTTTTCTTCTATTGGCTAACTGAGTGTTGGGCAGATTGAGTCAGTGGTTTAAATACGTCCTGAGGCTATTACGTCAAGGATTCAAATCATCAGACAAGGAGCCGACAATTTAAATTTCATGTTCAAAGCCAAGCCGCATTTTGTATTATTATTTTTGTATTCTTCTGCTGTGTCAGTGTACACAGAACAGCACAGAATAACAGTGCCAAAGGCTACGTAACTTTACAAGCCCAGTCTGGTCTCAAAACTGCCTAACCAAGTAAAGTTTGTGTGCCCCTCAGCTTTGGTGGATATCACCTGCACTCTGTTGCTGCTTAACCCGGACTTCACCACCGCATGGAATGTCAGGTACAGATACACCTAGTCATAGCAGCCAGCTACTACACAACTGCAGAAACATTTGTTCTTATGAATGTTCATTGTTTATGCCCCCTTCTCTACTGCTGAGCATAGTGAGACTGCTGTGAAGCTTCTATGAAAAATACATATCACCTGCACACCAGTGTGGCTAAAGCATAGTATACATACCTTGTGGCCATAGTCTGCTTTGTAAGTTTATGGTAATGCATGGTTGATTGTTGTTGCAGGAAGGAGCTCCTGCAGTGCGGAGTGCTTAACCCAGAGAAGGACCTCTACCTGGGAAAGCTGGCCCTCACCAAATTCCCCAAGAGCCCAGAGACATGGATACACCGGTAAGACTTAGCTTAGCATAAAGCTTTTAGCTATTAGGGGCCAAAATCCTATGGCTAGTCTAGCAAAGAATTATGTTATGTTGTTGCCAAGCAACCTCATCATTATATAGAAAAATTATGGGTTGATGAGTGTACTTTACTCTGCCTCCATCAAAGTGGACAAACCTGACACATGTACATTCCTGAATCTCACATTTCTGACATCAATCAGACGATTGTTGATTCTAACCCAGCAGTTGTTATCTCCCCGCAGACGCTGGGTGCTGCAGCAGATCCTGCGTCAGTTCTCTGCTGTGGGCTGCAGCAGGAAGCAGCAGCAGGGCGAAGCAGAGCAGGCTGATGCAGAGAGGAGCCAGCAGCTCAGTGACCATCTGGCCAGGACGCTCCACCAAGAGATGAAGGTGTGCTCTGATGCTGCCTGTCGATATCCCAGCAACTACAACGCCTGGTCCCACCGCATCTGGGTGCTGCAGCACATGGCCATGGGCAACGTCAAGGTGGGACGAAGAATACATTATCTTTATTTGCTAAGTACAGTATTTAATTAATTAAGAACTGCTTATAATTCTAAGTACAACTACTGTACATAGCCATTTACTTTCACAACAATTGCTCAACTTGGTGTATTACCGGGACATTGTGATTAAGATGACCTTATGGTTAGGTTGAGAACGTGACAATCTCCTTTTAATATTAGTCTTCTGTGTGCTCACTGCCATGTTTCCTCATAGGTTTTCCATGATGAGCTGTCCTCTATGCGCCTGTGGGTGTCCATGCATGTGTCTGACCACAGCGGCTTCCACTACCGCCAGTTTCTGCTCAAGGAGCTGATCACTGAGCTCTCCCAGACTCCGGCTTCCACCACCACTTCACCCCAGCACCGGCCCAGCACAGTCCCCAGCGGCAGTCCCCACCATCACAGCCACACCCATGCTAACGGGGAGCTATCAGGTGCAGAGGCAGCGGGTGAGGAGGAGAGGCAGCTGGGCTTCACCACAGTCCTTCAACTCTTCCACCAGGAGATGGAGCTCTGCACAGACCTAATCCAGTCTTTCCCTGGACACGAAACACTCTGGAGTCACAGGTAAGGCCACAGAGGTAAACACAAAACAAGACATTTGTCATTTAGTAAGACCATCTGCTTAACCTTAATATAGCAGTAAAACATTCATGTAAAAACATCATATATAACAGTAAAACACTGACAGGGAACATTTTACTGCACTATGACTTCTAGATCCCAGTGTGTGAGGGGTAGTTAGATCTTATTATTATTCTAGAATGCAGAATTTGTACAGCAGTATTTTCACTTTGGGATTGGTTGGGACTGAAGTAACGTTTCATAAACAGCGACGTTCAATTTATTTTCTGTGGCAGCACACAGTAACTATTCTACTGCAACCTGAGCTCATCTACACACTTCCTGTCTGACTGAAGTAACCAAACTACCCCTCTGTCAACGTTACACCAAAGATGCTCACAGTGTTAACTTTTAGAATGTCTCTGTGGGAGCCTTGTATATACTGTCAATGAACGCAGTGCTACTGTTGATGTCCACACTCCGGGCCCTCCATGACATTGGCAATTTGGTCGTGGTATAATTCCTACCCTGCTATTATACTGCAACCTTAGTTTATCTACAGACTTTATGGCTGAACAACTAAAAGTAACTACCCCTCACACATTAGGAAATACTCATACACACCCATCACTCCAATTCCTTTATTTGAACTAATCACTGAACTGCCTTCTTCAGGCACCGTAAGGCAGGTTTCCAGAGAGAAACTCTTGTATTCTGTGCCAGAAGACAGATCAGAACTAAGGGCCAAATCATCAGAGAAGTTCATTTCATCTGTTTCCCAAGCATCAATGTATACTGTTTAGTTCATTGGTCACATGACCTTAATGTCTGATACCTTAGTTGACCCTTTGCAGTTGAACTTGGAATGTCCAAGGTGTGACAATGGCTGTGGGTAAACACTAATATTCTGGTTACTCTGGGACAGTCCAGAGCTGTTAGGGTTTTCTGGCTCAATATGCTTTGTCCTGAATAACAGCTAAAAAAGGTTAATAGTCAGTCAGAGATAAGATATGATGAGACTTGCTCTTCTTCTTTAATCTGGTTAAATGGAGTGTTGTGATCAACTTCATGTTATTAGATAATAACATGAAAACGTTTTATTATCATTAAAAAATGGGAAAATAGATAATATGAATGCTAGTGGCATAATAGCCTCAACTTTATTATAAACTATATGGCAAAAAGTATGTGGGCACCCAATATTATACTTATTTTGTGACTGTGGAACTCAGGAGCTTAACCCAATCCATGAAAAACAGCACTACACCAAAAGTTCAACACAGTACGTAAAAAGTTGTGCCCACATACTCTACTTACAGGGAAATTGTACAGTACACGTCAATAATAAAGGTGATGGATGTATGTTTCCATACCTTCCAGGCGGCATGTCTTCTACTTGTGGCACCACTGGAGGAGGGAACACCAGCACCACTGCAGCAACAACGTAGGCAGCGAGTCGGTCCACCTTAACGACAGCGAGCCAGGCCCGCAGAAGGACAGCGCTCAGAGCTGCTCAGGCCGGGGGGAGAGTGTGAATGGACAGAGGCAGGCTGGTGAAGCTATGGAGGTAGACGGGGCGTCCTTGCCAAACCCACATGACAGCAAGAGACTGAAGAGAGGAGTCCTGCTGCCAGACCCCCCCGCCCTCCCCTCGGAGTACAGCTTTGTGAGCAGTATCCTGGACAACGGCTGTAACCCCGAGCAGAGACGTTTTGCCCTGGCGTATAGGAAGTGGTTAGACACTGTCATTGGTCAGCAGCCTTGAGAGAACAGTTAGCCCCATCCTTTCTCAATATTGAAGTTGCCTTTAGTCACAGATTTAGGATCAGCTTGCCTACCTGTAGTGCTGACTTTAACTTATAGTACTTCAGATGCAGTGATGACTTTAGAAACCAGTCATGGGGCAGCCTGGTTACTGTCCCATCCTCCTGACAGTGAGTGAGAGGATGGGGTCTCTAGTCCGTTCTTCCTTGGAAACATCTGGATTCCCTCGAGCTTCACCTGAGCCAGCACCCCTTCAGAATGGAAATCTGCACACATAGAGCCTATTGGCTCTGTGTGTGTGTCAGTAGATTATGTTCTTATTTCAGGTGTCTCAATGCCTCAGGTCAAATTTCCACATCTTTTTTTTTTTTTTTTTTAATTCTTCATTGCCAGTTTGGCGTTTGCCTGCATATCATTTCTGTTTCAGCAAAGAAACTTAACGAAGCTGCCACAGGAGAAGGAATATTGTCTTTGCAGAGGTGAGAGCAGAGCTGAATTTACACCCAGTCTGACTCGCTAAAAATCCCACTTGTTGGACCTGATTGTATGAAATGCCAAAAACGCCAATATACTGAGATAATCATATGGATAACATAATGATGACATAATTGGATAATACGTTAAAACTCAATTAATTATAAAACGTTACTTCATTACTCTTTACTATTACTGTTATTTTCATAGAAAGACTCTCAAAAGTCTGTTTAATCAATCGATTGGCTGAAAGCTAATGGGGTGGCTACAGCTCATGTAAAATGCCATTATGAAATTAAAATAAGGCACTTTAATACAGCTATAATGTAAGGAAAATTAACTTTAATTCAAATTGTTACAAGTGATTAAATATAATTTGTCATTAATATGTTAAGTTTTAAGAATTTGCACTATTCGTATGTTTCACAACGTCCAGTAAAAAGTACTCAGAATAAAACAGAATGATGGTAGCTCTGATTATATGTCCTTCTGACAATACTGAAAGACTTTTTTTCGGCTTCACGCTCACTCTTCTTTAGATGAATGTGTTCAAATTCACTCAATCTCACTTGTTGCAATGGCAGTTTTTAAGCACAGCCAGACTCCTGTTTTTCTTTGAGGTTCCTTAGATTTCCATTCTGAAGGTGGTAACATTTATTAACTGTGTCATTCTTTCTTTTCTTCTGTTGGTCCTTGTTTGCTGTTCCTGGTGGATTTCTACCCTCTAATATTACTGGTGAATATAGTCAGTAAGTCCTAACTATGTAGCTAAGTTACAGTAGCTTGCAACAGAAAGCCAAAAAGCTAGTTGTTAGCTAAAAGTTGTTTTACCAAGTGAAACGTTAGTCATAGCTAACTTGCAAGTCTTACCTTCTGCCAACCCGAAGCATTAAATACATAAGTGGAGAAATGTTTAGCGGTACTGATGTTTGACTTTGAAGGACAGAGTGCTAGGGAGTTTCCGTGACATTTACTGGTGCTACATGTTGCCGTTACTACAACTACTTCATCTGTTACAGGGATGTAGTGTGCAACAGGTCAGAAAACTGAACAGCACTTTGGACTATTTGATGATAATAGGCAATCATTGTTTTGTGAGATATCACTGCTAAATGACAATATTACAATTTTATTTTTTTTGAAATATTGTCTTTTATTTTGCACCAGGCTAGTTAACAGTAGCTGTTCTACGTCACTACCTTGTATAAAAATAGACATGACATCAAAAAGTCAAAATCTACATTACATCTTTGTGTTAAGGAATAATTTATAGCATACTCTAAACACAGTTCAACCCTTCAGTAATGTAGAAGGTGAAAATGATAGCTGTTCCCACTACATTGTCTTATCTATATATATTGATAAGGGAAGAATGGTATTCTTAAATTTGACTAACACATCTGAGGTCACCTGTATTCCAGATAGTTGCCTAGAAAATCTAATGGATTGCACTTTGAATAGGATCCATCTTTTTATTTCCCAATGATGTTATAGGTCATTGTTACTAGTTGTTTAGCTCTGTCATTGGCATATCGGTACACAAGTGAACAAATACATGAATTTACACAGAGGACATTGTTGTTCCATCAGTGCAGTGCACATTAGCATTCACTACATGTACTATGTGATCACAAATGTGGCACAAGCATTTGCATCCCAGTGGCCCCCTGATGCAGTTTGGATGCCATCACATCTGTATATAAAGATTTGATTGGATTTCCTACGTTCTTCTTAAAGACAAAATGGCGGATTTTAGGAGAAAAAGAAATGCTGCATTTGGTTTCAGTGGCCACCGTGTGCACAGGCTGGCTAGTCAAAATTGCCTAGCTCCCTATTGATTGTCTCCATGTGCTTCCATTTAACCCTTACCATATTGTACTTAGCTTCTCTTAGAAACACACAATGTAAGCGTTATGGAGTAAGATGCTTTATCACCTCAAATCACTGTGTACATGATCATAGATAATCTTGAAAATAGTATTTTTGAGCCATGTATTCTTTAGGTTTGTTCATCAAGAATGGGTGCATATCAGAACTGTATGGTGGGCATATTTTAACATCCTTGCAGACCTAGAACACAAACTTTGAATACAAGACTATCTATGCAGAAATGTTTTTTAAAGGTTCAACAAGCTTTTAAAAAAGAATAATGTAGCTTCTGTTTTTCTAATTTATTGTTAAGTTGGAGGGTATGTCTTTAATGAATAACCCCTAGCATCTCATTAATTTTCTATTTATTTATAGGGTTAAAGTATTTTACCTTCATTTTCAGTGTTTTGTCATCTGCACACCAAGAAAATAAAGCTCATCCGGGATAAATGTTTTTTTTACCTGTTGTTGAGTCTTGCATGTGTGGCTGTCTGGATCACTTGATGAACTACTGCACTGATGCATAAAACTTCCAGAACTGAAGACTTGAGCTACCCCCTGAGAAAGGAGCCAGGATTTTAGCTTCTCTCTCGGCTTGTTTCTTCATTTTTTACTACCTTAAAATGTGCTCTTTCATCCCCACTTTTTAGTGATAGCATGCCTCCCTCCCTCTGTTAGCCGTCCCTTTCACCTCGTCTTTGAGTGTGGCCACTTTAATTTCCCACTTGGTCGGACTGCGCGTCGTTTTCTAGCACAACCCAGCCCATAGTATAGACTGATTAGTAGGTATAATATTTTGAGAAAATAACGAGGAATAGTGCAAATATTGTTACAAAATTAAATGGTCTTTATTTAATGTATTTGTTCTCAGTTTAAGCATCACCCTCTTGAAGACTGGGTTATTCTTTCTGCAACTGTACTACACTGTCACTTTGATCTTCCATCCCCAACAGGATAGCCTTTGAGGATTTTATTAGTTTATGAGATAATGTCTCAGGAATCACTGATAACGTTTTTTCAACAAGCTGTTGATCCTCAGGCTTTGTAGATGTTTATAATTATACTGACTTCAATGTGGTCCAAAACTAGAGAATAACATGAAAGATGGTCATGTAAAATGGTTACATGAAGAATGCCAAAAAATCTGTAAATATACAAATAGACTTATGATTTATTTATTTATCCTCAACTCCGTATGCATAATGAAATGCTATTAAATCATCCTTGTTTTTACAGTGATTGGAGCTAGATTTCTTAGCAGATGCCGAGGCTGGCTTGGCTGAAGGTCAAGGGGGCAACAGGCCTGCAGCAAACACGGGGGGCACTGAGAAACATGAGGAGTTTCCATTCTACAACTACACATACTGACGTGTTTCAGATTAAATATCTTGAAATTTGAAAGTTTTGAGGCAAAACATTTTTTAAATTAAAATCTAATATAGGGAGAGGAAAATTGTGATGTGATAAAACAGACAAATAAATAATTGTGATAAGAGAGTACATTATCTGTATTTGTTAAACCAACTAAATTATCTCTATTTGTAAAAATAGTTATCTCCTATTTTTCAGGTTGTACATGATTATGAGTCTGACATTGATATGGGCTGATCAGACGTATTTATAATAGCAAGAGAATATTAACAGAAGTTTTCTTTATAAAAGTTGCTATACCTGTATTCATTTGTAATATTTTTTTTATATTGGCACATTTGACTCATTTAGTACTCAGAAAGTGCATTATCTGTACCGGATACTTGTTTCAGCTGAGTCCTGGGCCCAACCCTGATAAATAAATGGGGTTTTAACGCTATGTTTAGCAGAATCTTTATCAACGAATGTGAAATAAATGTAAAAAAAAAAAAAAACTAACCCAAAACTCCAATCAAAGGCCAATACTTTATTTTAAGATAAAAGGAATTTAATATGTTTCAGGTTGTACGTGATGTATTGTACGTGAGTCTCATTGACATTATTTGGAATCATCTGGCCTTCCATATTTGTGAAGCTTGTCAACCCTGAAACGGATTAAAAGTGCTGCAAACTGCTCCAGCACCCGCCTTGAACAGTCCAACAGTGGACAGGCTATTTGTTGTGTCCTATAGTGATGTGGCGGTGGGAGGAAGGAGGGGCTGGGAGGCTGGTGAACACACACACACACACACACACTCACACACACACTCACACAGACAGCAGCCGCTACAGGGAAGATGGAGGACGGTGTGGCAGCGGCGGAGCGGACCTCCAGCCTGCAGCAACATCACTGCTGAAAGCAGGTGAGTTCGCCTCCTGTTCGGTTCAAATAGCGCTCACTGCCCGCCGACACGTCCGACTCAACACGGTGATACGGAGCCGCAAACGGCTCTGTAGCGGCTGTGTTGTTATTGAGCTGCGGGGACGGCGTATTGTCGCTCGGTCTGTTGACTGTTTGAGGAGTGGCTACGGGAAAAGATAACGGCGCGTTTCAGAGGAAATGCCATACCGGGCTTCAGATAGAGAGAAACGCAACACCGGCTGTATGTACGAGGCTTTGTGCCGGGTTGAAGCGCGACCGCCCACCGGGTTGACATGAATGAAACGGCCCATAGAGGCCCTGTTGTTGGCAGGTGCAGAGTCCCAGCAGGGCTAAACCAAACCAGTCAACATTCTGGCCTGGTTGGGTCTTTTTTCTGGCTGCTTCCTGGGTTATGTTTGCAGCAGCTCATGTGATGCAGAAGCCAGAATCAGACACATGTTCTGCAGAGGCAGCCTGTCTGTGTGGCCTGGTGTTGTTGACAGTGATGCTGCAGGTTAGATGCTGGTTGTGCAGTCTGTCTGAGCTGCAGCACCTCCATCCTACAGGGAAAACCAGGTTCATCAAGTCCTGATAGAAACTATACTGTAAAACATTGGGGGGGGGGTTGCAGTCAAAATGTGTCAACATGTTTTAAATGTAGCCTATTGTTAATTGTTTTTTTTAAAGGTCTTGGGTAAATATCATATACTCTTTTTACTCTCAGCTGGAGGGGCGTGTACCTGTCTGGGTTTGATTGACAGCAGCTGGCAGGCTGAGCCCCAACAGGGGGACAGAGACAAAGTGAACAAACTTGAGTTGTAGCTTAAAAGTCATGGATGGACAGTGTTTTAAACCATGACATAATACAATGTATCGATATCGCGACAGGCGATAATGACGTGTATATAATGCACAATAAATCGATAACGCTCATTATCGTGACGGGACACAAGCACAATAAGGAAACATCTTCATAAATTTGACAGCACATGCCCTGCAAATCCAGAAACCACAGCCAAATACAGACAACAGAAACAGCGGGTCGCTATATTTCTGACTTTACATTCACGGAAAGTGACCGCTGCACGTACCTCGCAGGAGCATTGTATCAGTGATTCTAATGATTTCTGAGGAGATTTAGTCTTCATGAAAGATTTTAATCTTTATTAAGCTATCCGCTTCACCCGTGTTGACAGACGACCTGTAGCTTACATAACAGTCACATAGGCATTATTGGATGGTATAGGCTACTGCAGTGCTTTCCTTCTTCTGAAAGGACCCCTTTTTTTTATCATTGAGTTAACTGACAACCCCTGACTAAGTGACATAATTTAGATGAATTTGGAGCAGATTATTTCCTGTGAATATTGTATTTACAGTTTTCCCTGATATTTTTGAGAAACTCTTTCGTACAATTCTGTCTGTATTGTGTTTCCTTTAACCATCATATCATACATACATACAGCCTACATACATTGTTCTATTAGCTCTTTGGTTGTTTTATCTGCGTACTGTTCTAATGCAGAACGAGGCTGTTTATCAGAGAGTGAAGACTGTGAATATAGCTTGGGTCTTTACCAAGCCCTTATCCTGCGAGATTTTGAAAAATCTTTTAAATCTTAACTAATAATCTAACACTTTAAAAATAACAATGCTGAGATAAACTGTTATAACTGTAAACTGCTACTGTGTATATATTTTTTGTTTTTTTATACTCTTTAAAATCAAGAAGGCCTCACGACCCCCCTGTGAAGCTTTGGCGACCCCTAGTGTCCTGACCCTCAAACTGGGAACCACCGAGCGACTGTAAGCATTGTAATGATGAGACAACCTTAGCTTCAATGTTAAAAAAAAATGTCAGGGGGAGAAGATGTTTTACTTGTGTGTAGCCTTTGTGTGTTTGTAAAGTAGTGACATTTAGTTTTATAATCACTAACAGGCAGTATTTGCCCAGAAGATTTCTGTGCTATTTCTGTGCACTTGGTCACTCCTACGTTCATAACAGGCTACAGTCCGTCTCTCAGGATTATTATCTCTGATCAACAGTACTGTTCCAATATTTTTTTCTTTAAAATTGACCTTAATTTTCTGTTTCCAAAATGCTGTACAAACCCTGTCTCTAAATCTCTGTGCTGTCAGTGAGGTAAGTGCACGCTGCAGAACAGGCTGCGCATTAAGCAGAGAGACACTACAGAACCAACTAATAGGGAAAAAAACTGTCTGAAAACAGTCCCTGTTGTTGTCAGTGCTGCTTGCAGTGTTTCTGTATTTGGCTGTGTTTTGTATATGCAGCAGTTTTTCTAAACATGTTGTCAAATTCATGAAGATTTTTTCAGAATTTGCTTGAGTTTTTCTAAGTTGCAGTGTGTTGACCTCTCAGCACCACTGTAGTTTACATCCTGTGAGTGCTCTGATCAATTAGGCCTGCACGACATGGTGAAAACATCATATTGCGATTATTTTGATAGATATTGTGATTTCCATATGATTCACAAATAGTGTGGGAATGATCTTTTTTGCACCACAAAATACAATTTTTCCTGCAAAAATCATGATCATTTGTTGGGGTCTGTAACATGTTTTCTTACATCTGGAGAACAAGGTTTGTAGGTCGGGGTATCTCTGCAGCTCTACAGTACTTCATTATAATGCTGTTGGTCACATATTCTACCTTTTTGATTAAGGAAATGTAGATGGAATTGTAGTTTCAGTGATTTGCATATTGGCCATATTGCGATTTGGATAATATTTTGAGTAACTGTGCAGCCCTATGATCAATATTTATTTATTACCTGCATCAGAAATCACGCCCCTTTTTGAGTTTTTGTTGAACGGAAACAAAATGTGACCGTCTGCCTGTGGTAGGAGCCTGACATTCCAGCTATATGTATATATGGTTTAAATGGAAAACAAACAGTATTTCTGACCAGTTAATGCAAAGACAGTGGGTGGCATCATGCCTTTTGTTTTCAGATGTTTTCTCAGAGGAGAACATGGAGCAGATGTATGCTGTAGCAGACAAAAAAAAATGTCCATCTGTGCTTGTTACTCCGTTTTACTAAGCCAATGACTGTGGTTGGTTATAGTAACAGCTAAATACTGAGCCCAGTATCAGTTTTGGTTCTCTGGCCTGGTCCTGGAATAGAGCCAGTGCAGCCTGCCTAGCTGTACCCTAATTGCATTGCACTGCCCAGCTGTCAGGTGACTGCCGGGGTGTGTCTGAGATTGGTGGCTACAGCTCAGCACTGATTCACAGAGGACATTTTGACATGGCACAGCTGAGTAAGAAAATGTAAATAAGAAAATGAAGGGGTCCTGGTACTGTGCATGCAGGCTCACTGTCACTGTCTTATTGAGCCATCATTAATGTCCTTAGTAGCATGGAATTTTCCTATGTTGGCAAGTCAAAATGTCGGCTGTGAAAGAGAAGTATTCAGTGAACACTGGTACACCCGAGCCAGTGACTTGCCACACCAGCTTATGAACTACACATCAACTACACACTGTATTTAAAACTGTAACAAGACACACAGTAAGTAAGTAAAAGAAAAATGATGATAAATGATGTAATGATGATCTACACACTGAAATGAAAGTCTGACCCTGGTAACATGGAAGATAAATTGTATAGTTGCATTATTGGAGATCAGATGTGGAAGATAACTAAATTAGTGTGGTAAAAGCAGCAGGTTTTAGGCCAACAGGAACCAAGCTGCATAATGAGGCTGTATACTGTTTTTTGAGAAGCTCTCATGGTGAAGTTGTACATACAATCCACTATTTAGCTTAACAGAAAAAAAAGATATTTAAATAATGCAGGAAAGGCATTGGCATGTATGTGTTGAGTAAAATATGACCATGAAATCAATTAATCCAAAAATATCTTCTGCTTCTCTTTTCACCCTGGACAATTTGTAAGTGTTTACTGTTTGTGGTTTCATACGAGCCTTATCACAGATTGTGTATGTATTTGCCATGCTGTCATTTATTGAGTGTGCCAGTCGGTGCTGTGAATTTAAAGGGTGTGGATACCACACCTGCACGGTACAAAAGCTCTGTGCAGGTGTTACACTGCAATATGTCAATACATTGCCATTGTACAGATTTTCTACCATCGTCCCATACTGTAATTTGGTAGTTGCAAAGATAAATTCCCACACACTATCTAGGGCTGTAAGAAAATGTCTATAAATATTTTATCGTGATATTTCTTATCTTTTCTCTCACTCTGTATCTTTTGATGATCCTGTTTTCTATTCATTTTTGTTAGAGACCAGATGTGAGTTCTACACATCTGGAGTGCAGCCTCAGTGCAAAGAGTCGTTTTCCTGTTTCTTATGGAAACATGTATAAAAATAATACATTATATAATTGATGTGTAACAATAAAAACATTGAAGGGTGATTAGTAATGATGTAGGTTAATGATAGGGATGAAATATGGTGTTGTAGGGTTGTTAGGGTGTAAATCATGTAGGACGTTAAGTTAGGTGTAACTCTTTTATATATGTTGCTTTCTCTTCTGAGATCCTCAGTGTTGCAGTTTGCTGCATTGTTGGATTCTTTTCATGTCCATCTAGTGGTCAGCACCATGCCGACAGCTCCACTGCTGCCCACTAGCTTTAGTTTCCTCAGATTGTTTGTTTCAGGCCCTTTGTGTCTGTGTCAGTGGACAGTAGCTATGGCAGCCTGCAGCCAGCTACCTGCTCAGACAGAAGGAGGATAAAATAAGTGGACATCTTGGCAGACCTGGAAAAGGAGCTCTTTGCCATGGGCAAATAGCATCTCTGTTTGTTAAGGAAGGTTCCTGCTGGTGTGTGTATCAGTGAGCAGGGACTAGATTTCCCCTGAGAGGCCATCCAATCTGAGGTAAATGCATGAGGAAACGGTGACAGGCTGAATCCATCTGGTGATGTAAATTTCTGCCTCCTTGAGCATTAAAGACAGCCTGAGGCAAATACTTCACCTCTACAGCACAGTCATTGTCAGCTCTGAAGTAGTG